ATATATATATATATATATATATTATATTCCATTAAAAACACTTAAACGACGCCAAATGTTAAGACTTGGCAACGGGACAAGCATGAATGACAAACAAATTCCTTCTGGCACAATAGGATCTACAATTTAAGAACGCATGACAACTCATCTGATTAGGAAACAAAGCTAGTTTTCACCTGACACATGATTAAGATAACAACCTTGACGGATTCCACCAAAAAATACGTCATCATCATGCATGCCACGTATCTTCGTTGGACAAAACTAATTAACCTGAAACCCTCTGTGTTTGCGTTGTTGCCACCATTATCCACACGTCCCAACCACACGCAATCAACAGAGCACAACGACATACCAAATCTGCAAACAAAATAAAACTAATACAAGTTTTCAACGAGAGAAAACAGAAGGGAAGGTTGAAGGTGGTGAACAAAAAACACCGTAGCCATTCACCACCATCACCCTAACCTAACCTAACCTAAACCTAACCTAGCCTGACCTTTGTTAATTTTTCATTTTTCACAACCATCGACCCATCACCTTTGTTTTACAAAGATCAAAATTAAATCAATAAAAATGAGGGTATGGGAGAAGGCCAGTGGAGCCATCAAGGACAGGAACAGCATATGGGTTGCAAAATTCTCGCGAAAAGGTCCATTCCATAACCCTGATTTGGAAACGGTGATAATCAAGGCCACGAGCCATGACAATCACCACATAGACATGAAGAACATGCAGAGAGTGTTCCAATGGCTAAGAACCTCACCCTTGTACCTGAAACCTCTCATATGGGCTCTCTCCATGCGCATGCAAAAGACTCGAAGCTGGGTTGTGGCGCTTAAAGGCTTGATGCTCATTCATGGCGTTTTCTGCTGTGACATCCCTGCGGTGCAACGCATGGGGAGGTTACCCTTTGACCTATCAAACTTCTCCGATGGCCATTTGAGCCCCGCAAAGGCTTGGAGCTTCAACACATTCGTTCGTGGCTATTTTGCGTATTTGGATCAAAGGTCAGCGTTTGTGTCCTCCGAGTTTAAGTCCAAACAGAAGAAGAATGACAAGGAGGTGGAGGTGGTGGAGACGTTGATGGAAGAGCTTGAGAAATTGCAAAAGCTGCAAGGGTTGATTGACATGCTTCTTCAGATCAGGCCCCGGAATGAGAACCTGAATATTGGTCTTATTCTTGAAGCTATGGATTGTGTTATAGTTGAGGTTTTTGGTGTGTATAGTAAGTTTTGCAACAGGATAGCCAAGGTTTTGATGAGGATATATGAAGTAGGTGGGAGGGTGGAAGCGAGCATTGGCCTCAAGATTCTGCAGAAAGCAGCCATTCAAGGGGAGGAGTTGTCTTTGTTCTTTGACTTTTGTAAGGATATTGGGGTCCTCAATGCCTCTCAGTGCCCTAAGGTTGAAAGAATTTCCATGGAGGATATTCAAGATCTTGAGAGGATAATCAGTGGTACCTCTACCAACAAGGGTAATGGTGTGGCCAATGATGAGGACAAGGCTATTGTATTGAGAGATTGTTCTTCTTCCCTTGCAAACTTTTCGCCCCAGAAGGAGTCAGAGAATGGTTTGATGACTGTGATCACTCACCAATGGGAGGTGTTTGATGATGATGTTATAATGGCCGGTGCTAAAGGAATGCATTGTGTCTCTAATGGTGCAAAGGCTACTGGCATCGCAACCAACCCTTTTGTGGAATCATATAGCATCGTGCCTTATATTCCTGCTCACACTCAACCTCTTCCTGATCTAATTAGTTTTTAGAAACATAGAACCAAGGTTTATTTATTGTTCCTTTTTCACTTCACTAGATTCATTATTCTATATGTATACTTCTGGGGAAAGAAAATATGAGAAAGTGGAATCCAAAGGGGTGAAGTTCTTTTCATACATTCTCTTCTCCACATTAGTAGAAGAACTTGTGAGTCCCCCATTCTCCAGCATTAGGAAACTTCTATCACATAAAATTCTGTTCTTATTATTGTTGACAGTATAATTAGAAATTGAAATTGCAGAACTTGTGTTGTACTCTATTTTTAATGTCCGCCTTTGGATGTTAAACAGCTTGTTATGAAATAGAGCATTTTAGAGTTTGGATAAATGTAGATCATGGACCTAACACCAATTTAAATATATTTGAATTTTCTACAAAATGCGATAGATATTCTTGATGTAGCAGTATAATGGGCACATGGAGGCAACATAAGATCCGATGAAGATATTTTCGAACAAATATGGAATAGTCTTATATCAACAACAGAACATGTACATAACTGATCATTATAGCTTAGTTATGGCTTTTAAGAGTTAAGACATGCACATGAGCGTTTAAGTAAGCAATCATGCATGAAGCCAGTATTCTAGTGAACATCTCAATTAATGTGCCACAATATACCACTAATCACTATCTAGAATGTTAGTATGATACAATGGAGAGATAGCAGTAGTACCTTACAGATTCTGCTATATATTTTATTTGAAGCAGTTGAGTCTTCAAGGCAGTCTATTTTAAATTTCTGTGACTAATTCTTTGCTGCCATCGTGTCTAAATCACGAGCTGGTTTTATAAACCCTTGTAGAGAGATGATTCGTATGATGTTGATGCCTTGCTAGAGCACTATATGCTAATTGGTCTATGGCTCATGAATTGTTTTCTTATTCATGTTTGAGTCTTCCATCGCGCTCTATTCTCATTGAAAGTTTCTTCTTAATTCAGGTTGAGGGAATTTCACATTGATCATTATGTCAACAAACCAATAACGATCAACCTTTTTAACAAAATTCACATTCCATGCCTTGCTAGGAGCACTTTTCTTTGATGGACTTTTGACCAGGCTGTTTTGTCGTATAAGTCTCCCCATTAACATGTAGTATGTTTGATTGAACTTCCTACACTGCAAGCTTGAGAGTTTCAAACCCATTGGAATCATGTTCTTGTGTTATCTACCAGGATTGAGCAGGATTATATCTTATTCTTTGTACGCTCTAAATGTATTTTATCTTTTTTGATTATTCTTTTGTTTGCATGTTTTTATGTTTCTTTGCACTTTAGCATTGATTTTTCATCCTCTATGTGTTTCTTAGCATCTCTAATTTATGGTATTCAGTAAAAAAAAAAAAAAACTCTAATTTATGCCCTTCATGGACACACCCACCCATGTTATTGCAATTCAAGGTTAGTAACATGCTTAAACATTTTATTTTCATTTTTGTCAACATGTTAATATATGTAAATATCGTTATGTGTTCTGTTCTCGCATATCATATAATGTTAATTATCTCATCATTAGTGTTAGGGGTTATGTCCTAAACTCTTTGTAGCTCATAAGGTTATATTTTTTTTGGACAACAAATAAGAGATATATTAAACTGGTATAAGGGATACCAAAACTTATATACATATCATTATACCACTAAAGTGCAATAGACAGCAACAAAACCAATGACACAATTGGTTATAGTGTATTTATATTTTGGTAGAGTAAATAGAGGATAGCCAACTAATCATTCCCAACCCCTACTAAACAAACATAATTAGATGCAAGTACATATATATCCCTTATTCTTGCAATTCTTCTATCAATATAGGAAACTAGAAATCAGGGAGTTAATTTATGTCCCCAACCATTTGTAATCAATCAACATATCCAAAGGGCCCAAAACTTGTGCAATAAAATGAAAGGAAATTTAGTGCAATATTTTTGAAGTTGCTTCCAATTATGTGTTGCAATAGTGGTTCACCAACTTAATAGAGGTTACTGCAAAATCTTGTTTTTATTTGTCATTTGTTAGCTGCATAATATGATCAATTTGATTTGACATAAAAAAAGTGTACATCCTCCTCCCCCCATTCAAATCCCCACCAATAGTTTCTATCTTCTAGCTAATAACCGCAAACAAAATCACATCTACAAGTCATGTTTAAGTAGGTAAAGACCTTGATTGAGACACCACCTTTGGCAGAAGGAGTAAGGGAATTGTTTTTGCAACATATCTAGCTAGTACCATGAGGTGAAAAGAATATCTTTCATAAGTTTATCTCTTACTAATAGACCTCCTTTAAAGCTACAGAGGTTTCTATGCCTTCAAATAGTCCAAGTCGTAGCACACCAAATTACACACCGGTTTTCCACCTCTAAAATTGTATTAAAGGGAGATGGTATAAAGAAAAAGTGTTGTTCAACACATTGAGGTAAGGTTGCAAGATAGTTTAACCTTGTAAGACACTCCTTCCACACTTTGTCCACCATGTTGCATGTAGAGAAAATATGTGAAATAGTTTCTTTTTTTTATTTGAAAAAAAAAAAAAAAACATAACCTTTGTTGTTGAACCAGAACCACATTTCTTCTCAACAGGTTCTCTACCGTTGATATTTCATTGTGGAATAATCTCCACATGAAAATCATAACCTTTTGAGGGACCTTAAGCTTCCATATTTTTAAAAAAATTATCTTCCACCCGAGTCTCAAACCTTTGCAACTAAATTAATATACCTGTATGCGAATTTTACCATGATGACCATAGTTTGTTCGAGCGGCCATACCCGGGAGTTAGCCTTATCTTTTCGAATAGAAGAATTAGTAATTAACAATTGAAATGATTTTTCTAGACTATTCTCCCATTCAAACCAGTCCCTAAGCCACTTTAGGTCCTAGATCCATCTGTCATTGATTCATTTTTCCATGCTAGCAATTGAGTCATGTTTTTGTTTGGAATCTAGGAACATCCTAGGGTGATGCAATGCTAGGCATTCTAAACAAGCCCAATTATCTAACCAAAATCTGGTTTGTCTCCCTTCTCCTAATTGCTAGCTCACTAAATCTTCTAACTACTTATCCTCGTTATCTCCACCACATACTTTACTTAAATCACACCACCATATTGATGCTTTACCATTCACAGTACCAGCACACAAATTATACCATTCGCCATACTTTGATCTTAACACTTTCCCCCATAGAGTATCAAGTTGATGAAAAAGATTCTACCTCCATTTTGCCAAGAAAGTGATGTTGAAATCAACAGTATTCTTCACTCCCAAGCCCCAATACATGTTTGGTTGGGATATTTTGTCCCAACTCACATAGGAAACTTTTACTACTCCCATTTTACAACACCACAAGAACCTCCTCTAAATTGCCACAATTTTTTCTATCAGTCTTGGCATTTTGAAGAAGGACATGTAGAAAATTGGCAAGGAAGCTAGAACTAAATTGATCGAACAAACCCTCCCAGCCATCGATAATGTTTTATGTTTCTAGGAGGCAAGCTTCTTCTTAATCTTGTTGATGATAGGCTTCCAAGTTTCAATTTTCCTTTGGATTTGCAGAAATAGGTACACCCAAATAGATAAATGGCAATTGAAGAAGTTTGTAATTGAACATTTACGCTAATTCTCCAGATAGTTCTGATCTACTTCGATTGCCCCTACATTGCTCTTACCGAAGTTGATTTTCAACCGGGATGCCAACTCAAAGCATCTTAAAATACACTTGATAATAATTATATAGCTATAAGTTGTCTCTCCCATAAAATTTGTATTGTTCACATAATGAAAAATGTTAATTTCGACCTAATCCTTGCCAACCATCAAACCTTTAAACAACTTTTTCTCAATGCCCCCTTATCAAGTTTGTTAATCCTGATAAAAAAGAATGGTTCAATCCAAGAAGGAAGTGAATTTGATTTAATGACACTTAAAAAATTTATCAGAGTTTAAAGATCTTAATTTCTTTAAAACTTTTCTAAAATCAATTTCCAATGAAATATATTGAACCTCTTAGTATATAGAATGACTCCTATATAATTTCTTGATTAATCTTTATTGAATCAGTTTAAAAAATAATTTATATGCAGTGCTTGTGTTCCAGTTTAAACCATTGTAATCATACAAGCATATTAATCAAGACTAGTCATTTTAACATTCAATTAAAGATTGTTCAATGTAAGAGATAAGGATGAGAAGAGTGCAAAGTGTTTTATCTTGGTTCAGCCACTCCACATATGTGACCTACATTCAATCCTCAATCATAACTTGATCAAGATTTGTTCAACTATCTCAATGAAGAAGTTTTACAAGCATACCACACATGCACACACTTCAACACACAAGATAGACCCTTTCTTGCACCCAAGAAAGCACTTCTTGTAGAAACTCACTACAAAAATTCCTTATCACTTGAGAAACTTACTCAAGATTTTTACCACAATACACAAAGAGATTTAAGGAACGAATTCACCTGGAAACTGAACAAATCAGACTGTGAATTCTTGACTAATCTTAATTCCTCTTTTCAAGAATGTAGTGATGATGATGATTCCTCTCAAAGCATTTCACAAGGTATTTTACTTCTTGGTTTCACAAAGAAAACTATCTAAGAGGATCACAAAGATCAAAAGTATTTCACAAATTTTTCACAATATCACTTGGATTCTTCTCTCTGTTAGTTTCTAAATGTGAGAACCATTTTTTTAAAATTTTTAGACCCAGATAATCGATTATTTTTAAGGATAATCGATTATTTTGTTCTTCAAGAATTTTGAAAATCACTCAAGAATAGAATAATCAATTATTTTGCAGGATAATCGATTACTCCAGAGAGCACTTTCTAGAATAATCGATTATTTCACAGATAATCGATTATTACAGTAAGATTTCTCAATCCCTTGAAAAATAGAGCAGAAATAATCAATTATAGTTAATAATAATCTATTATTTTGAGTTAGTTTTCAAAATTCGATTTCACACATTCAGAACCTTTCCAAGTTACTTTTAATCATCATCATACTTACTCTTAGATAATTAGAATTAAGATTTAAATCATGCACAAATCACAAACATGCATAGAAAATAAAATTGACCAACAAAGCAACTCAACCCATAAGAACTCATAAACTGCTACACTATTACATTTGGTATTCATTCATGGTATTCATGTCTTCTCTTTTGTTCATGTCCTTTGTTATCATCAAAAAGCTTATATCCTTTGTTATCATCAAAAAGCTTATGTCCTTTGTTATCATCAAAATTCTCAGAACTTGATTCATCATCCATGAATCTCAACAAATCCTTCAATAACAATGATAAAGAGGAAGGGTGCAAGTGGGTTGCCTTGCTTTAAACCTTTTTGCATGTTAAATTCTGTTATGGTACTTCCATTGACTAATATTGAAACATAAGTCGACTTTAGGCATGATGCAATCCACTCAACCAATGTTTTAAAAATCGGATCAAACTGGACGGTCGGACTAGTTGAACTAAGAATCGGTGGTCCATCCGGTCCGAATCTTAAGTTGGATCGGTTATGCATTCGACCTATTTTAAATTGGATTGAATCGGTCAATTTTTTGGTCCGACTAGTGAACAGGTGGGTCAAACCGATTCAACAACAAATTTTTTTTTTAAGGGACTACAAACCACAAAAATAACAATGAGAATTAAATCTTTTAATGGAAGAACAAAGAGTCTTATTAAACATAACAATGACTATTTGTTCTAATGTATTTATTTGTTATCTATGCAACTTAAATAACTTTTATAACATATTATTAATTTTAAATTATATATTTAATAATATAATATCTATGTAGATATTACATATATTATTTTGTGATATCAATTGCAAACATATTATATATGTACATAATATTTATATTTTTAATTTGTATTAATATACAGTTTAATATGTAATTTTTTTTACGTATTTCTTTATACAAAATAAAAATAAAGATAATTTTAAATAAGATGAAAATTAAAATTTAAAATAAGATATGAATTTATTAAAATTTATAAGTATAAAATACATTTAACATGAATATTTTTTAAAAAAAATTAATAAAAACCGGATCATGTAGTTCAATTAGTGACCCACCGATTCAACCTTTAACCCACTAACTCAGTACCCTAACCGGTTTGATGACCGGTCCGATTTTTAAAACTATGCACTCAACCCATTTAGTGTAAAACCCCAACTTGTGTAAGATGCACGAGGGAAACTCCCAACAAACAAAATGCTTTTTTTCTTTCTTCTCTTTGCTTCATCAAGAGCCTCATTTGCCACCACCACACTATGTAGGAGGTTTCTTCTTTCTATGAATGCACTCTATCTATGATCAATGACAAAAGATAAATCCCTCTTCAATCTATTTGCAAGAATCTTAGCAAGGATTTTTTTTCGTATATCTCCAAGTGATTGAGGATCACCCACTTTTGGGATAAGAGTTATGAATATTGAGTTGGTACCCAGTGATAGCTTCCCATTATAATATCAACTTCTCAAAGTTGTTTTTGGGAGATTATGAAGATAAAACCCAAAACAACTTTGAAAAGTTGATATTATACCCATCCGGTCCGAGGCTTTTTGTGCTACCACACTCCCAAATAGCCAATTTAATTTCCTCTTCCCCGATTGGTGCAACTAACATGCTATTATCCATATTTGATCTTTGTTTAAAGTGTATTCCATCCAATTTAGGCATTTTCCATGGTTGTTACTGGAATCTGTTTTGAAAGAAGATTTTTGTATGCTGTTTTACAACTTTCGAATCATCCTCCCAAGAACCTTCAACAAACAGTCCCCTTAGAGTAATTTTTTTCCTTCTCCAATTCACCATAAGGTGAAGTATATTCAAGTATCTCATAAGGTTATTTGTATAATTGATAAATCAGACTTTTATTGGTTGTGAAATTTTGCTTTTATTGAAATCTGAATGTTTAACCATTGTCATCATTCATAATATTCAATCATTAAGTTTGGATTAGAAACTCAAAATGTTTTCATTTCCTTGGATCTACATATGATCTTGATCCTGACATTAGATGTCCTAAGTTTTTGAATTTTGAATGGAAAATTAGATGAGAAATATCTTGTAGAAGGATCTTTATCCTCACTAAAGGATTTAGATTTTAAGACGTATTCATTTATAATTTTAAAATTATTATGAGTATTGAATGAGGATTTCAACTTCAATTAGAAATATTTATGAATACTTATTCGATAACAATTGTACAATAATACTTTTGTGTTTATCTCTCTCTATTTCTTTATATTATGGAGAGAGATATTATTAATGATAAAGAAATAAATACAAAAATAATGTTGTACGTTGTTGTAGTACAATTTTTGTTTTACATTTAACATTGTTCCATTTGGTTAGTGTTATGAATTAGGTTTGAGCTAAACCAATATAACAACTTTTATAGGCCAACATTGAGGTAATTAACCCGAAACCATAAATGATGACCAAGACCAATGTGAGTGATAGGAAAATTAACATACACACATGAACACCAAATCATATCACAAGTTAAGAGTGAAGTTACCATGTCACTAGATAAAAACAAGATATAACTACATGAGACGCCTTCAATCTTGTGCTAGGAGATAGAGCTTGATGCAAACACACCTAGTAGAATTATTACTAATAGTGACTTTTTGTTGATACCCACCCATTTTTTGTGGTGTCTCAACCATAATAAGAAACTTGAATCTTGAGCTATCAAGCACACCAAGTTAACACTGTTAGGAATCCAATAGCTACAAAGCATCAACTCTGACACGGACATAGACATGGATACATGGTTAATGTCCAAAAAATAAGACATGGCATGACAAGTATACATAAACTTTACAATTTTTATATGATAATAATCCTTAAAAGATAAATCATATCTCTTACAAGTTAAAACATTGAGTAATTCTTATGAAAATGAGTCTTAACATAGATAAAAAAAATGTTATGAGCCTTAAAATATTTATAAATAAGTTAACTTTTTTATATAAAAAAAATTATAATAGCTAGAAATGTTAGATAAATGTTTAACTAAGAGTAAGAGCAGATTCATTCTTAATTTGTGTTCAAGTCATGTCAAAAAAATATTTAAATTGTGTCAGAAAAGTGTCTATACAAAAATAAAATAATAATAATTATGACACAATGTAAATGTGTTGAGAACCTGTTGTGAAGTATTAATAAGTGTCATATCAAAAACGTGTCAAACTTATTAATATAATATTTTATAGATATGTCAAAGTTTCATAGGTTAATACAATATTAGTTGGCCACCTGAAACATATATTCCACATATCTCAGACAAATCATTAGCATTATCGATAGGAATATAGTAAATATGATTCCTACCCAAAATGGCCGATACCAAAAGAGAAGCAACCCTGAGTATGTCACCCCTGGGCCTCTGTTTCATCTTTCATGTTAACACCTTAAAGCTTTTACAGGTTATCATTGGCAGAAGTCATGAAGCTTTCATGTTTAGGTGAATTTTTATTTTAATTAACTCAAAAACCAACAGTCATATGAAGGTAATTGTGTATCAGGTGAACTGATGATAATTGCTAGTTGCATTTGTTTCTCCATTAAAGGTGGCCCGAGGATCATGAAGAACTCTGATAAAAGATTTGGGCTGTCTACTAAGGTTACAAAAGCTCCAGTGAATTATCATCTAGCTAGAAATGAGATGGGAACCAGCAAATCCTATTAGTGTGGGTTTTTTGCAAGAGATGAACCACTATGCGCTACACACATTGTTATATACTAGGATTTTGCTTTGTACTTGAAAGATATGTTCATACCCATTATTTAGACATTTTTGTTGCAACTCTTTGCTGGACTCTTGTATGAGACCTCTTGTGTGTGTACTATGATTTTATATATGGAATGAAATATGACTTTTTCGATCCAAAGTTTTTTTCAATCCTCCTTATATAATTAAGTTTATACATTGACAAATTGAAAACACAAATTACAACCCTTCTAATATAAAACTTTGCTAGTTCTACGAAATGGAAGAGAATATAAAACATAAATATGTTCTGCAAAAGTATAGTAGTAGTCACTGTGGTAGTAGTTGTAATTTCAAAAGTTACAATATAACTTAAAAATACACACAATATAAATTAAAAAATAAGATACGATTAACTGGAAATAAATGAAATAGCGAATTAAAAATACACACAATATAACTTAAAAAAAAAAAACCAAGAATGAGAAGAGAAGAAAAAAAAATACACGTTCCATTTTTTTCTGAGGTTTCAACAACTTGTTCTTAATTAAGTTTTTCACAGCAAATTTTTTTGTATCAAAAAGGAAAGAAGAAAGTTGTCGTTTTAGCATACGTAAGGTAAGAAGAAAGTAAATGTAAGGGAAGGGGCACATTTGGAAAAAGGGGAAATTTTAAAAATTAAAACTAATTAATTTATTAATATTTTATAATTCATTGAACTGACAAGTGCTCATTTTAAAGCGGTTCGGCACCTTATTCGGCTAATACTTTTGGATGTTTACCATTTTTCATTGCCTATAATAAAGCTACCTTGTTACTACATCAAAATAGGATATAACTATTTATGAGAAGCTTTAAGTCCTATGTTAGAGAATTTAGCTCAGTGTTCAGGCCTGTATATATCACCAACGACATTATATTATATTAGGCATGCATATGATATACCTTATCAAATTAGTAAAATTTTACTCAATTAAGTATTAGAGTGTTTAACGCATATAGGAAGTAAATTAATAATAATATATATAAATTTTATGACATTTTTTCTTGAGATAACTAAACTTTTCTCAATGATACAAGAGAACTGACCCTTAGTGCTACTATCACTATTATTATTATTATCATTAGAGTTATTAATGTTAGTGATGATAATAATAATAGTAATGATGGTGAGACGATGATGTTAATTGTAATGATGAAGACAATAATAATAGAAATAATTATAATGATAATACTATATAATAATTTTTATTTATTTATAATTCTTTAATTTAAATTTATTTTAATTTAAAGATTAAGATCCCTCATTTTTGTTCTCTCATTAAAATATTATTATCATAATATACATTCCTTACATGAAATATATATATATATATATATATATATATACGTGTACTCTTTTTCTTCCAAATTCTACTCTCATATGTGTCCTTAAGAACATTTCCTAATAACCTAATAGTACATTTTAATATATATCTTAAAGTCGTACCCAATTTTATATATTTAAAGGATTTTGAACCCTTTCTACTTAAATCAGCATGATGAATGGAATAACTAAAAGAAACAATAGCTATTCTTAATAATTAATTACGAGTTCAATATTCCTTTTTTCAGTGAACGAATAAAAATTCAGTGTCCTATCCTAAAAACAAAATACGAATTTTAAAATTTGTGATGTAGTTTTGAAAAAAACGTCAAGAGAGACATACTTTTTTCTTTTTTTAATCATTATTATATTATATAGTTTAAATAGGAAGAATTGCCTTTCTTTTTTCTAATGAGGCAAATGCCATGCAACTTTTATTTCTGAAGAAAGCCACTGGCATAATAATTCCCAACCCTTATTGGTTTTTATCCGATTTTGGAAGTAACTTTTCGTGAAAAATGGATGTGGAGTAAAAGTAACCCTATATGATACATGTTTCTTTTTCTATGAATCCTTTTTATGATTGATATGGCATATAAATGCATAGGACAAAAAATGGCTAAAGGCACCGCATACAAAATCAATTGATCAATAAACACACAACCATATATATAAGATTGATGGTTTTCAATTCGTGGGTCGAATCACAAATTTCTTCTCGTGAAAACGAGCAATATCGAGGTAACACCGAACCAACAATCACGTGTATACGCGCTCAAAAGCATAAAAGGCGAGTCCAACAATGAAATGACAAAGCACAAAATCTGAATACAATCGGTTGAAATGATCAATTGATTAAAATATTTTAAGACATTAAATTATGATGGAATATAAAACATTATTGAAATCAAACAATGTTGAAAGATTATTTGATCGAAATATGGAAGAAAAAAAATACTCATAATATAAAAAGAAAAAATTAACTTTTAAAAAGAAACAGTACATGAATATGAAGAGGAAAATATGTTTGACTAATTCCAAAACATTTAATGAGATGTGTAGATATGTAAATAATGTACTCGTAAATGATTTCCCAATCCCCCTTACAACTTGCTTCTCTCTTATTTATTAAATTTGAAAGAACTGTCTGCTTAATTAAAAACTAATAAATGTCTTATTATGGAATTACAATTACATATGTTGACATCTTTTGAAGAACTGCTCTTTATTAAATATTAACCATTAGACAAAAAAAAAAACTATTTCACTAAACCAGCCCCTTCCTCTCGAACCATTAGTTTTTGTTAGGTATCATAATCTTCTTCTGACTTCTCTTTTTCACTTCTTTTTTTCTTTTTCTTTTTCGGGTCAAATGTCTTCTCTTCCTGTTCCTGGTAAACCATTAAATCTCAAAAAAAAAAAAAAAAAAAAACCTTTTATTAACAGTTAGATTTGTGCTAAACGGGTTTAAATGTATCGGTGGATTTTCCTATTTAGAGAATATTTTTATTTGAAGTCAACATTGCCAGCTATTGCCATCAGATTCTGACTATATCTCTAAGAAAGTATATCCTATGCTTAGCAAATAATATGACAACCTATGAAAACCAACTTCCTAATTTTGAATCGGTAATAGCTTACTTAATGCCACTACTGTCTCACAAAAACCAACTAAAATAAGAGCCCAATTGGCATTCTATTCAGAGTAAAAAGGATCGTTGGTAATCTACTTATGCCTCTTTATTCAATTCATTGTTATAGTTAACAATTTGAGGCACAGAAAAATTGCTAGATAGCATAGTCACTAGACATCTATTATTGCCTTTCAATTGTGTTAGGGGGGAACTCAAAAAAAAAAATCAACTTCCCTGTACAAAAATATAGTTCAACCAGATTTAGGGGAACAACCTTTCCATTCTATTATTTCCCATTATGTCTCTAGACTTTTCAGAACAAGACTGAGAAATAGATAATATAAAGAGACACTAATATGGTATAGAATCATGAAGAAACAGAGTATGTGACTAATTCTATGGACAATACCACTGAATTAATTTGACAACAAACAGTACAAATTCATCCAAAATTAACATAGTAAACCACAAAGAATACAATGATACCGTATAGGGTGTGACTATAGGAGAGGGATAGGCTACTACCCCCGTTGATCAACCTCAAACCCTGAAGGACTCTTTAAGAGGAATTGTCAGATAAAACTGGGGTCTAGTAAAACTCCAACTGAAAGATTATGTACACCTAATGGAACACATTTCAAGTAGAAACACTTGTAGGATTGTTTATGAACCATAAACAACTTGAAAACTGAAGGGCTAAACCAAAGAAACAAAGGTAATGTGTAATTGACAAACCAATAAGCCAAAGGAATGATGATACGATAATTCATAAAAATTCAAAGCATTGAAAAATGATGATAATTTTAAATTAAAATGTGAATGAGAATCATCCAAAACTAGTCTATCTAGTTATAACTCATCTACATAAATGCTGATGCCATATAAAATGGTTGTCCCTTATCACATAAGCCGAAGAGGGAAAAAGAACAAAAGAACTGGAATATCCAAATTTTAGGTAGAAGAAGTACCACAACAGAAAATTCTTGGATAACAAATAACTCAACATCTGTGTGAAAGACCACACAGGTGTATATACAGGTGAAACAGACCAAATGTCATGTGTCTCAGCAGAACCTATCTACCTGATCGTGACAAACTTGTTGGTGCCATGTCTGGCCCAATGAGTCTTCAGATCAATAGGGTTAGCAAAATTATAACCTTCAGCTGCAAGTTTCTCTAAGACCTTTTTAAAAGCACCTTGACTCATTTTCCGCCCAGCTATCCTTGCACCACGCCTTTTCATGCTCATAGGCAAGGGATATATCGACACATTTGTGGTGCAACAAGCCGACTGCCAACCTCCGCAGCCCCAACGATAACACTGCTGAGGAGCCCCAGTGCACGAACAAACTGGAATGGGTAGACCAGAAATGTCCATATCAATTCCATTAATAACAAGCTCCATAGTCTTCTTTGGTGGCTTCACACGTTGAACTGAAACATTGCTATTATCCTTTGGCTTCCTAGGTTTCTTAGCTTTTGGGGTAGTCAGAGCACCCCTAGTTTGCCTTTTCTTCGGCTGACCAGCTTCCTTTTTGACAACTAACTCTTCAACTCTATCCACCTTCTCATCCCTTGATGTATCAGGTGGCTGTATAATTTGCAAGGAAGGAGCTCCTGATGTCTCTGGAAGAACAGTATAATTAGGATTTGGGGGCTGCATATTGAAAAACCTATCCCTCTGGCTTATCCAATTATCTCTGACATAATTCAATGGAATTGATGCTTCGGAAACAACACAATCCCGTGGGTGAAAAGTTCCATTTGCACCCATTAACATAGGAGGATCACGACCAGGCAAAAATGGCTTTGTGTCTCGATCATTCATTCCAGGCATGAGCTGCAGACCAAGATGTCCCCCTCTGAAGGGTTCATAGTAACCCCAATTGGGCATGTTCAACACATCATCATCCATCACAACTACACACAACAGGAAACAAAGAATCATATTGCTTCAAACCATGTCTTTCGCTTCTTCTTCTTCTTCTTCCCATCTCAATGTCCATCATTAAAATTAAAATCTTAAACAAAGCAAGCAACATAGCACGAACTAGAAAAAAAAAAAAAAACACAAACGATAACTTAAACAGCCAAAACAAACATTGACAAAACACCATGTAATCTAATTGTAAAATGAGAAAATACATAAAAACAAAAACAAAAACAAAAACAAAATCACATTAAACAAAAACCAAAAAAGTTTAAGATTACCACAGCCAAATTCTCAAATCAGGCTCATACAGGTCCAGATTCGCCGCTTCCAAGTAAAAAAATCGAAACTTTGGCGATCTAATCGCCACAGAATAAAAACCCCAGGATCTGAACACCATTACGATTCCCACATTTTCCCGTGAACAAAACAACACACAGAGAAAGGACTCTCACGGCTCGCAGATCCCCAATTCCCATTTTAGGGTTCCAAAAATTGGGAATAGATCCGAGTCGTAATGGCGAAGAAAAAACAAATTCGTAGAAGAAATTATTTATATGGAGACTGAACGGTAGAAGAAGGACCCATGTATTCAAATTTTTAAGGAAAGAGAGGGAGAGAGAAAGAGAGAGCGGAGAGAGAGAGAGAGAGAGAGAGAGAGAGAGAGAGAAAGAGGTGAGATAGGAGAGAGAAAACTTACTTGGTGGGTGCAAACGGTCTTTAGGGTTTGCCCTTCCGGAGAGAGAAAGATGAGAGAGACAGAAATCTGAAAGAGAGAGAAAGAGAAAGGCGAAGAGAGAGGAGAGAGAGAAAGGGTGCTAAAAAATAGGGTATGTATGGGCATATATAATATATTTCCAAAGAATAATGGAAAGTCCAAAGAGTATATCTTGCTTTTGGGAGGTGCGGTGAGCACGCATATAGAAACCCTTTTTTATAAAAACATATTAAGAGAGAGAAAGGGCCTTGGCTTCCCAATATATGTTGGGCTTTCTATAGAACTTCCCTTCTTCATGCCACATTCTCTCAATCCATTCAATGTCAATCTCAATGCCTTTATGCTTTCATTATTTTATTACTTAATCCATTTTTCCATTGCAATTGCAAAATTACTAAATAACCAAACCATCTTTCCTTATTCACTAAATAATCACATTATGGATAATATTCGTAAATATCTGTAAACAAGACAAATGAATGTTATTAATACTTTCCCTATCACTTCTTTTTTTTTTTTTAATTATTGATAGAAAAGTATTAAAAATCAGATTTTTTTAGTTAGTCTCATTACTAATTAAAAAAAAGTTATTAAACAAGATGTCAGACTTGTCTAATTTTTAATTTTTAACAGATTTTAATTAATAATAATGATTGTGTTAAAAAAAATATAAAAGAGAATTTCGTTAGCATTTTTTAAAATAAATTATTGGTGCATTTTTGTTTAGTTATATCTTATTTAATAATAATAAGATGATTATTTTTCCTTTTTTGTAATTATTTACAAATAATATTATAGTTTAACTATTTGTTTGATTTTTATATTTGTATCATTTTTTTTGTTTTGTTCTTTATAGTGGAAATTACATTTTTTTTTAGTTCACATACGAACAACTATAAAAATTGATACTGTACGTTCACCATAATTTGTGTTGATTATTAAACCACTAAAAATTGGTCTGGTAACATTGAAAGCTTACATGTTCCTCTATTTTCTCGTGTTGTGTTAAAAATATCCTAAAAAGAAAGTATATCTTATTACAATACTAATAATTAGTTAAAGTTCAAATATCAAACATAAAAGATTAAAATCATAATTATTGATCTATCATAGGTTCTCTTATTTGAAACCCAATTTTAAGTAGAAAATAATATTATTGTAATTGTAAAAACTTTAATTTTAAACATAAAATCAAGTGAGTTTAAATTATAATATTGTGAGTCTTAGGATTGTTTAATTTATAATTAAATGATTATATGATTTATAATTTTAATGTTGTAAAATCTTAAGGATTTAATGAATTTTTATGAGTTTAGTTGTTTAGCAATTATTTTAAGCTGAAATTATTATTAACCAAGTTTAGGAAAAAGCATAAAATTTCTTAAGATTTGAACTTTATAAATTTATTTTCTTGAAAAAATTTAAAGAGAAACTAAATAGAAAAGCTTTATAGCTAAAGGAAACCTTTTCCTTATGACTTCACAAATTGACTCCATTTTTTTCCTAGAGCACCATTAGTAAGAGTTGAGCTCATGAGATGCAAAGTCTCAAAGCTAAGAATCATATTTAGGAGTCGTTATATGACAAAAGTCGAGGATTCGTGTACTGCATGCATTCTTTATTTTCTTCTTCTTTTTTGGAAGATCCAAGGTAAGAGAAGCTTGTAGAGTTGATCTTGATGTGTTGTATATAATGAATGTCACATGGATTAATCTTTTTGTGGTTGTGTTGCTAATGAGTGAGTTAAAAATCTTCTTGTTTTGGTTTTTTGTTGTTCTTGGTGAGATGAGGAGAAAACTGATGAATTGTACTCATTTGTTGTTGCATGTTGTTCTTCTAAGTGAAATTGAGTTGCTTGTGTAGTATACATGTGTTTTTGTGAGTTGCATGTTAATTTGGGGCTGAGTTTTCAGGTGATTGGAGCCAAATCATGATTGTACCAAGTGTTGAAATCGTCTTCACGTCAAGCATAACTTCATGGTGTCGAGTGTTATGCATGTCATTGGTTCTCTATCTCATTGACATCGGGTGTGGGACAGGTAGCATTAAGCGTGAGTCAGTTAGGAGCTCTCTAACTTGATTACATTGAGGGATGTCGAACATGATTGCATGTGAGCTCTCTGACTTAGTGATGTCGAACACTAGATGAGTGATGTTGAGCACGATCAAGTCAATGACTCTCTACCTTGACAACATTGAGCGCAGGTAATGTAGCATCAGACGTGGATTAGGCAAAAAGACTCTCTGCCTAGATGACACTTGGCGTAGGCTTAGGGGTGTAAAGCATGGTTTACACTAAGATTCTTTGTCTCATTGAAGTCAAGAGTGGGAGGATTAACACCGAGCATGAATGAGCCAAAGGCCTCCTACCTTCTTGAGTATAATTCTCTCTTAAAGTAGAGTGTTGAATCTCTTATAGGTTCTTAGTTAATATTGTATGGGGTCAGGTCGAGTCATATTGATTTAGAAGTGACCAATCAAGAAAGGTACAAGGTTGGGGGCCAAAATTTCTAACTAAGTACTGGAAAGGTGGGTAGTATTTGGAGGATAATTAATGGGATAATTCCCTATAGACTTAGATATGCATGCTAAGATTGTGGTTAGCTCACACCTAAGTTGTTCTACTCTTAATAAGGGATACTGGACTTTCCTAGTTTAAGTGGCAAAACTTGATAAATCATGTTGTGTTGTAGATTGATACCCAAATTTTTTTTTGATCTAGCAAAACCAAAAATATTATAGCGTTAAGTTGGTTCGGTAATATTAATTCACTAATATTGTTCACTATGTTGTAAGAGATCTCTTAGTTAAAATACATAATGGCACATTGTGTTGCTATGTTGTTATGTTGCAGTGTTGTTTCAGTTGATATGTTGCTAATTTATATTGAGTTGTAAGTTGATGTGTTATTCTTATATCATGTTGATGCGTTGGATAGTTGCTAAGTGGACATGCAAGTAAGTTATGTGTTGAAAGTTGAATGATGATATGTATGTTAAGTGGAGAAGTTGTATTGAAATGTTATTTTGGATGACTAAATTGGGCATTAGGTCGTAGTTGAGTTGTGTTTAGGGTTTGATTGTATTATAGTTAGCTTAATTTATTCTATATTATTTATGTTGATTTCTTGTTTACGAGCTTATCATTTCATTTTTCTTATTGTTGGATTGTGATAAACATATTAATAAGAGTATATCAAGATTAGGCTAGAGGGCAAGCAAGACTTTTGAGGGTGATGTTGGAGATGTGATGTTTATTAGAATTAGCAATTAGCGTGTGTGTGCGTGTGTGTGTGTGTGCGTGTGTGCGTGTGTGCGTGTTAATTAGATTTATGTTTTTTACTGCATAATTGTTCAACTGTTAACACACACATACACACAGATATATATATATATATATATATTGTTGCATAGATATACAGAAACTGTTTGCATGCTAATTCTAAGTAATTAGATTTATATTTTTTACTGTTTGCATGCTAATTCTAAGTAATTAGATTTATGATTTTTACTGCATAGTTGTTCAACTATTAAAATACACACACACACAGATATACAAAAACTGTTTGCATGCTAATTTTAAGTAATTAGATTTTTTTTACTGCATAGTTGTTCAACTGTTAAATATAAGAACTTATTGAATTGTTACATGATTCAAGATTTAGAAAATATTATATTTATGACTTTAATTTCTTAATCTTAATTTAGTATTTAAACCCTAATTTAGATTGTCAGTTTTACCTCTCAAGTTGTTAATTACTATTGATCATAAAAATTAATTTTTTTTACCAAATATCAATTCGTAAATTGGTCATATAGTAATTCATAGATTAAACTATACTTTTGATCATTTATTTTATTTTTTTAGATACATTTTGGTTGTTTTTATGTTAAAATGTTTGTTTTTATTATTTATCTTTTATATTTGGATAATTTTTGTCTTTTTAAAACAATGATCATTTTCAATTTTGCACTACAAGTTTGAATTAATTTTAGACTAATTCAATATATGAAACTTTTAGTATAGATTCATCTATGTGAAAACTTTGGAACTCAATTAATGTACTCAAATTCAAAAGGACTCCAAACATGTGAAAATTATGTGAAAATACATCTCACGAGCAAGTAGAAAATAATATCAAATTAATTTTTTTGAAATTTTCAATTTCCTTCTAGGCTTATTTTTATACGATGTCCGTTATGTTTATAACACATCTTTATGTGAACTTCAATTGCATTCAATAATTTTCATATAAGTAAATTTAATTAAACAAGTTTTAGGTTTTGAATCAGTAAAAAAATTAATTCAAAATCATGTCTCAAACATAAAAATAATCATTATTTTAAAAATTTTAATCAATAAATTACTCAAATAAATATTTTAAAAGATGGAGAATGAAAATGAATTAAAAAAAGAAGATAAAAGGATTAAAATTTAGCCTGATTCATACAGCAGAAAACATGAAGAAATGAGAGGATCGTTAAAATAATTAACTTAAAATGAAGTTTAGAAAGTCAATTTGTTCATGCAAGCTTTTAAACTTGATTATCTTACGGTTTTCTTAACGAATATTGGTCATGTAACATAATTTGCAAAGTGATCGATTCCTTGCACAAATTAAAATAGTAAGAGAATCCAATCAAATAACAAAAAGGTTGAATTTAAATTAATATTGGAGATCAGCGATCCAACCTGCATGTTACCCCCTAAAAAGTAATTTAACTAGACATGACAGACATTGAGCATAAAGTTACAACATAAGACATCAAAAAATGGTAAAAGGAGAAGAACTGTTTCAAGTAGTTACCCCTCCTTAAGTCTCGGCTTTCCTCCCATAATTCCACAGTTTCACTCTCAAAGCTCTTTAAGAAAAATATAGTATTTTCAGAAACAAAGGTAAGAATGAAACCCTAAAATTTACACCTTTTTGGATACATAAAAAAGGTCCAAAG